CGTACAGGAATGCCGGAAACGCCACGCGTGCTAGTGGACGTACAGGAATGCCGGAAACGCCACGCGTGCTAGTGGACGTACAGGAATGCCGGAAACGCCACGCGTGCTAGTGGACGTACAGGAATGCCGGAAACGCCACGCGTGCTAGTGGACGTACAGGAATGCCGGAAACGCCACGCGTGCTAGTGGACGTACAGGAATGCCGGAAACGCCACGCGTGCTAGTGGACGTACAGGAATGCCGGAAACGCCACGCGTGCTAGTGGACGTACAGGAATGCCGGAAACGCCACGCGTGCTAGTGGACGTACAGGAATGAAAGAACTCTTGTTTATATGAATAACAAATAAAATAAAATTGAAATAAACATATTTAGGTACGTCGGTGCTCATTCGAGATCTCTGCGGTAATGACAACCCGCCTTTCACTACCATCTTGTGGTCTCAGTCTGTTGTAGTTATTCTTAAAAGGTCCATGTCCTCGCTTTAGCTGTTTATGTCTCACACATACTTGGCTAGAGATGGCGACCTGAGGGACTAGTTTGGTCTACACCTGTTCCTCAACTTTCACACCTGTTCATCAACGTTCACACCTATTCGTCAAGGGTTCACACCCGTCCAACAAAGGTTCACACCTGTCTACCAAATCTTGAGGTTATCTTCAGTTGATTTCGGGGCTTAGCGTCCCCGCGGCTCGGTCCTCGACCAGGCCTCTTTTTTGTTACACATCCCCATGAAGCAGCCCGTAGCAGCTGTCTAACTCCCAGGTACCTATTTACTGCTAGGTAACATGGGCATCAGGGTAAAAGAAACTTTTTGCCCATTTGTCTTCGCCTCCATCGGGGATCGAACCCGGAACCTCGGGACTACGAATCCGGAGCGCTGTCCACTCAGCTGTCAGGCGCCAAACTTTATTGCCAACAGCATTTAGTGTTCCCAGGCGGTCACCCATCCAAGTACTAACCAAACCCATCGTTGCTTAACTTCACTGATCGGACGAGAACCGGTGTTCTCAACGTGGTATGGCCGTTGGCCATGACCAAAGTTGCACATCTGTCCATTAAGCTTTTCACTTGTTAATCAAGCTTAAATTTACACCTGTCCATCAAGTTTCTGATCTATTCATCAAGCTTCAGACCAGTTGAATAAATGTTCGCACCTGTTCCCAACACCGTCACACACCTGTTCACCAACACCGCCACACACACCTGTTTACCAACACCGCCACACACACCTGTTCACCAACCCCGCCACACACCTGTTCAACAACACCATCACACACCTGTACACCAACACCGCCACACACACCTGTACACCAACATCGCCCCACACACCTGTTCACCAACCCCGCCACACACCTGTTCACCAACACCGCCACACACCTGTACACCAACACCGTCACACACACCTGTACATCAACACCGCCACACACACCTGTACACCAACACCGTCACACACACCTGTACACCAACACCGCCACACACACCTGTACACCAACACCGTCACACACACCTGTACACCAACACCGCCACACACACCTGTACACCAACACCGTCACATACACCAGTACACCAACACCGCCACACACACCTGTACACCAACACCGTCACACACACCTGTACACCAACACCGCCACACACACCTGTACACCAACACCGTCACACACACCTGTACACCAACACCGCCACACACACCTGTACACCAACACCGTCACACACACCTGTACACCAACACCGCCACACACACCTGTACACCAACACCGTCACACACACCTGTACACCAACACCGCCACACACACCTGTACACCAACACCGTCACATACACCTGTACACCAACACCGCCACACACACCTGTACACCAACACCGTCACACACACCTGTACACCAACACCGTCACACACACCTGTACACCAACACCGTCACACACACCTGTACACCAACACCGCCACACACACCTGTACACCAACACCGTCACACACACTTCATAAACAGTGACAACCCAAAAAGGTCACTTATTCCTTAGAACCGCCAAACATAAATAATATTCGTCCGATATTTAATACCAACATTAGTCATCATTCGTGGAAGTCTATATCGAGGGATTGATATAAATTCTGGCAAAGATACAGCGAGGAAAAACTCTCCCTGATCGGTCTCTGTGAGTGAGTGAATGGGTGAGTGAGTGAGTGAGTGAGTGAGTGAGTGAGTGAGTGAGTGAGTGAGTGAGTGAGTGGGTGAGTGAGTGTGAGTGAGTGTGAACACTCACCGCACGGGTTCGAACCCTCATCACGGATTTTCTCATTAATGCAGTCACGTTTGTGTGATTACTCTGAGAATAATAATAATGAGACTGGTTAATTAGTTACAGAAAACGTATATTTAATAAAAGCCACCAAAACGCAAAGCGTCATCATCAGAGTATACACAACGCGGCTGTAGCCTGGTATACACAACGTGGCTGTAGCCCGGTATACACAACGCGGCTGTAGCCTGGTATACATAATACAGCTGTACCACGGTATACACACATGGATGAACACAAGGATCAACGACCGCCTCCACACCATCATCGACCGATGCCTTAACAACTTTGCAAGAGCCAAATCACATCACAAGAGACGGGTCACCACCAAGAGACGGGCGCCACCATCAAGAGACGGGCCGCCACCAAGACTGTCTGTACTGTTAGGTGCTCCCAACACTGTTCCCCGACCCATAATGGCTGAATAATTAACGACCCATAATGGCTGAATAATTAACGACCCATAATGGCTGAATAATTAACGACCCATAGATGGTTGAATAATTAACGACCCATAATGGCTGAATAATTAACGACCCATAATGGCTGAATAATTAACGACCCGTAATGGCTGAATAATTAACGACCCATAGATGGTTGAATAATTAACGACCCAAAGATGGTCGTATAATTAACTTATACAAGTTATTTAAAAATATAAAGCGAACAATGGCGTCTAGTTATTAAGGGCGACAACCTGAATAATTAAGCGAACACAACTGAGTAAATATGTATAAAATATTACTCGTTAAGCATAAATTGGCGAGCAATTAAGCGTATGCAAATTCATAATTCAGCATAAACTGGCAAATAACTCAGCGAACAAGAATGAGTTATTATGTGTGATCACTAATTATGCAAAAAAAATCCATGAGACCAATGACACGAAAAATGAGTGAGAAATGATGCGCAAAGCATGCGAGTAATTAGGCTCAAACAGGTGAGTAATTAAGGAAAAATGGTGAGTGAGTACGAAAAAAAAAAAGTTTGAGTAATGATGGAAAAATCTGAGGATTCTTTCAGGGGGAAACTTGTCCAAGTGTCACCTTGTGGGAGGGGAAAAATAGCCTCGCCCCGCCTGACCTCAGGATAGGAGCCTCGCCTGGCATGATTAGGGGGGGGGATAGAGCCTCGCCTGCCCTGATGGGGGGGGATAGAGCCTCGCCTGCCCTGATTGGGGGGATAGAGCCTCGCTTGGCCTGATTGGGGGGTGTGGAGCCTGGCATGGCCTGATTGGGGGGGTGGAGCCTCGCATGGCCTGGTTGGAGGAGTATGGAGCCTCACATGGCCAGATTGGGGGGTGTGGAGCCTCGCATGGCCAGATTGGGGGAGGGTATGGAGCCACGCATGGCCAGATTAGGGAGGGGGGTGGAGCCTCACATGAGGGCGGGGATGGAGTGCCTGACCTAGAGAGAAGCCTCGTCTGGGGGATAAGTCTGGCGTGTCTGTTGATTGGAATGCGACTAAACTTGGCCAAATAATAAGAGTGTTACCAGGAAGAGTGTGTCGACTACAGGCAATCTCCGCGAGCTCTAGGGGGGCTACGGAAGGCCCTTCAAACACACGATATTTTGGGCTTGGGAAGCCCTCGCGAGCTGGGACCCTATTTGGAGGAATATGACCCCACAGAACCCGCGGAAATCAGGATCTTGGCGATCCTCCGGGAGAATCGACGGTAGTAAAGAGCTTCACCTCAGACAACTGTTGATACGCCAGCATGTGAAGCTCGTGGGCAATGGCGCTTCACCAGGGTGTGTTTAGTAAAGATTGTGTGAAGTGAGGCTAGTGTGTGAAGAAGATCGCATGTAAAAATAAGTGTTTTTATGTAAGATCGTGTGTGGTGAAGACCGTGAATAGTGAAGACCGTGTATAGTGAAGACCGTGTATAGTGAGGACCGTGTGTAGAGAAGACAGTGTGGCCGCATATAACTGCAAAAACCCAAAACTTCAGGTACAGAGTCTTGGACGTCTGCCCCATCATGTACCTCTCTCCCCCCCCCCCCCCCCGAGCTGTGTGGAGGTCTGGCCACCATGTTTTCCACTGGGTTGTGTGGACCCCCCCCCCCCACTCCCCACTGGGCTGGGCCAGGTATTTTTGTTTATAATATATAATACGCAAGTAAACTGAAATCTAAGCCCATTGTCCTAGGCTAATATAAAAACCAATTATAAATCTTCAAATATAAAATATTTATGAATATAATGAATCAAACAGCGAAACCTATGTCAACATATAAATTATGATGTAACACTCCGTGCCCAATATTTATTAAATACAAACTTTTGTCTTATTTTTGTTGTTAGGTTCGGCTAGGCTAAGTTAGGCTAGGCAGGGTTTGGTTAGGACAAGTTAGGCTGGTTTTGTTAACTTTAAAATAGTTAAAAAAAATACTTAAAAAAAAAGAGTAGTAATGACGGTGACAAGACAAAAGTTTCTAAAGTCTTAAAACCCTTTTCCCATGTTCCGCAGTTACTGAGACTAATACGGCTTTAAACAAACACAAGCACATAAAAGCAATTAGCATACCATTTAGTAAGGCCATCTTAACACATTGTGAACCACAACGAAATCGCAACAACTTATTTTTCTGAACCCAAACACCAAACCTTTTGTAACAGTGAAACTCTGTTACCTCCCCCCAGGATGATTTCTTGGGACCCATCTTGTTCTCCAGCCCTTACCTCCTTTCCTTGTCGTCCAGGGCGCCATAAGTGCCGAGAGGTGTGGCCGAGCCTGGCGGTGGAGCGGAC